CAGCTCTGCAGCTGCAGATAGTTAAGTTCGGGGAACCGACGGCACCTGCCACGATGACACTCAACAGCCGATCCCGCCTGAGTGCTTTCTGACAATAATATCTACCTGATCGACCTGAGATTAAGATGGCGAGCGGGAATAACATCGAATATGGGGAAATAAATATTAGAACTCTAACGAGTGTTCAAATTTTCGGAATCGGATTAACGGGAAGATTTTTCGGGCCAACTAGCCCGCCAGCGCGCCGGAGTTACTCTCTAGCTTCGCCGCTTCGCTCTCAGGAAAGCTCTACGAGTCGCTTCGAGAAACCGATTTAGATGGGCAAAAAAACATCCGCCGAGACTGGGGGCCGGCGGTAATCCGTCAACCATGGTTTTTTAAGTTTCAGTTTGAGTCAGGGCGCGGACAGCTGTGACAGCTGAGCCCTAAGACTCCCAAACGGAGCACAGGGTAGCTAGAGAAGGCACCTCTTATCATCACACTGCCGAGCCACTGAGGCATAGGCATCGGAATAGGATGCAGGAACAAGGAAAAGGATGCAGCAAAACATGTGAGAATGCAAAGGTGTTGGAACAGGTTACAGAATGGTGTAAGAGCTGGTTGAAACGCTACCCAAAACGTGTTCCACGGCCATACAATGTCGTTTTACTGCATTGATCAAAGCAACAGCCGATCAGCAGTATACTTCCACAGACCGCCCTCCAACGAAGAAACCGTGGAGGCCGACTAGTTCATGTTTACGTTGTATATCCAGCGCCAGGCGCCAGTTAAGGCCACAGTTAAGGCCAAAAGGTTACGCAAAGGTTCGAAGACATGTGGCTCTGCAAGCGTTGTTCCATCAACCGTTGAGCACCACTTGAGTAGAATGTCGAGCACCGCCAATGTCCGAAGCACCACCCTGCAATACGGTGCATCCTTATCTTGTCCAACCGACACAGCCCACAGGTTCTTTGGATGTCCGCGTCCTCCTCCCCATCACGGCGCAAAGCCTCACAGAAACGTTGCAGAGCAGCCTGCTTCAAGTAAAAATTTGTCCCCACTCGCTGGGTGGCCATATTATCCCATGCGTGGGAGGCGCATCCGAACCAGCGTCCTCATTGCACTCTGATTGATAGTTATGCAACTCATCCACCTCCGTTTCCTTGTCGCCTTCGGGCAACAAGGGCACAATTGAGGCAGGTAGAGCGGAAGAAACTGAATCGTGAAAAGAGGACGGAGGTTGGGGAGGATCGCAAGTAGATTGATGGGCCGACTTTGACATAGGAGCCTTCGCCCTTACCCCCTCCTGTTTCTGCGGTGCCTCTGGCCTTTCCCACGGCCAGCATCCTCCTCAGGAGTCGGCGCCTCCTCGGACTCTCAATTCCCATTCGAAGTTTGTATGCCTTGAGCGCCTCGATCCGAGCATGAAACTCATCTTTCGAGAGCCGTTCGAATTCCCGCCAAAGAGCAACTGCATCGTCATTGGCACGGGCCCAGTCCCTGGCAGCCTGACACTCATATTGATTGCTCTGCAACTCATCTGAACAGAGCCGGGAAGAAGATGCACAGTTATCTTTACGCTGGTCAACTTCGCACTCTCCGTGGGTTTTCGAGGATGCCAACGGCAGGGCCTCCAACTAAGGAACTGAGTGCAGAGAATAATCCCAAGGAGCTGAGTGCAAAGAATAATCCAAAGGAAATGCGTGCAGTACAGCATCATTTGATTGAGAAGCAAGCGACGCTTCTTGAGCAGCAACTGACGTAGAACTCTCCACAGATTCAACATGAACATGCTCCTCCTCCTCGTCCTTGAAATCCTTAAGATCCCCCTTTCTGCGGCATCATGACAGCGCAATTATGTTCGATTAGTCCTGGTTGACCAGTTGGAAGAGAATAATCAAACTGGCAACTTGTAGACAAGCTGTATTTGATGTTATGCAGTTTAATGCTCGTGATGCATATTTTGTGGGTGATCCGAATACGGTCGGCGCAAGGGTTAAGAACTTCGGTGGTTCGGGGAGGGTACCCTTATGTTCTTCGTTTTTGTTCCATGTTCTTGTGCACCCTGGGGGAGGGTATCCTCGATGTTCTTCAGTTTGGCGCCATTATTCCTTCGTTCTGACAAAGCTGGGGTTCGGGGCTCACGATTCGGCTACGAGCGTCCGCGGCGGGGGCGGGACCCTCCATGTTCTTCGGTCCCGAAGTCACGGTGCGGCCTTCAGCAACCGCGTGCCCCTTCATGATGGTGGTGCGATTGCAATCACCCTCGCATGTTCTTAGGGGACTGTTTGGCGTTGGTGGGCTTCGGGCTGCGGGGCTTAGGGCGTGCGGATGCAGGCTTGATTGAGGCTACGTACGCACGTAGGCCGCAGGGCTCGCGCGTCCGCGGCACGGGCAGGACCCTCCATGTTCTTCGGTTTCGATGTCAAGGTGCGGCCTCCAGCAACCGCGTGCCCCTTGATGATGGCGGCGTGAGTGCAATCACCCTCGCATGTTCTTAGGGGAGAACTTGGCGCTGGTGGGCTTCAGGTTTCGGAGAGTAGGGTGCGCGGCTGCAGGCATGAGGCTAGGGCGGGCGGGCGAAGCCACGCGCAGCTTCCTGGGCTGCGGCAGGGCTGAGAGGTTGGATGTGCGGATGACGTTCAGGACGTAGCGCTGATGTCGGTCCTATGCTAAGGCCCATGGGGTAGGCCGCAGGGCTCGCGCATCCGCGGCGCGGGCAGGACCCTCCATGCTCTTCGGTCTCGATGTCAAGGTGCGGCCATCCGCAACCGCGTCCCCCTGGATGATGGTGGCGCGAAAGGAATCGCCCTCGCATGTTCCTAGGAGAGAGTTTGGCGGTTGTTGGGCATCAGGTTGCAGGGCATACGTGCGGCTGCTAACTTGGTGCTAGGTCCGGCGGGCGAGGCCACGCGCAGCTTCCTGGGCTGCGGCAGGGCTGAGAGGTTGAATGCGCGGACGACGTCCAGAACGTAGCGCTGAATTCGGTCCTATCTTAGGGCGCATAGGGTAGCCCGTGGGGCTCGCGCGCCCGCGGCGCGGGCAGGACCCTCCATGTTCTTCGGTTTCGATGTCAAGGTGCGGCCTCCAGCAACCGCGTGCCCCTTGATCATGGCGGCGCTCGAGGAATTGCCCTCGCATGCGATGAGGGGGCTGTTTGGCGTTGGTGGGTTTCAGGCTGTGGGGCCGAGAACCTCTGAGAGCCTCTGAGAGCTTCTGAGAGCCTACGAGAGCCTACGAAAGCTTCTGAGAGCCTCCGAGAGCCCTTGAAAGCTTCTGAAAGCCTCCGAGAGCTTCCGAGAGCATCCGAGAGCTGGTGAAAGCCTCCGAGAGCCTCCGAGAGCCTTTGAGAGCCTCTGAAAGCCTCCGAGAGCCTCTGAGAGCTTTTGAGAGCATTTGAGAGCCTTTGAAAGCTTCCGAGGGTCTCCGAGAGGTTTTGAGAGCCTCCGAGAGCCTCCGAGTGCTTCCGACAGTCTCCGAGAGCCTCCGAGAGTTTTTGAAAGCCTCCGAGGGCTTCCGAAAGCTTCCGAAAGCTTCCGGAAGCCTCTGAGAGCCCCCGAGAGCCCCCGAGAGCTTCCGAGAGCCTCTGAGAGCCTCCGAGAGCTTCTGGGAGCATCCGAGAGCTTCTGAAAGCCTCTCAGAGCTTCTGAGAGCCTCCGAGAGCCACCGACAGCCTCCGAGAGCCCTTGAAAGCTTCTGAGAGCTTCTGAGCGCACCCGAAAGTCTCTGAGAGCCTCCGAGAGCCCCTGAGAGCCTCCGAGAGCCCCTGAGAGCCTCCGAAAGAGCTTCTGAAAGCATCTGAAAGCCTTTGAGAGCTTCCGAGAGTCTCCGAGAGCTATTGAGAGCCTCTGAGAGCCTCTGAGAGCTTCTGGGAGCGCCTGAGATTTTCCGAGAGCCTCTGGGAGCTGCTGAGAGCTTCTAAGAGCTT